AGACACAGGTATAGTGGGTGTTGTGTCATGATTGAAGGAAAAGTTCAGAGAGACACAGGTATAGTGGGTGTTGTGCCATGATCAAGGAGAAGTTCCGAGAGACACAGGTATAGTGGGTGTTGTGTCATGATTGAAGGAAAAGTTCAGAGAGACACAGGTATAGTGGGTGTTGTGCCATGATCAAGGAGAAGTTCCGAGAGACACAGGTATAGTGGGTGTTGTGTCATGATTGAAGGAAAAGTTCAAAGAGACACGGGTATAGTGGGTGTTGTGTCATGATTGAAGAAAATGTTCAGAGAGACACAGGTATAGTGGGTGTTGTGTCATGATCAAAGAAAAGTTCAAAGAGACACGGGTATAGTGGGTGTTGTGTCATGATTGAAGAAAAAGTTCAGGGGAGACACGGGGAGAGGTCGGCATTTATAGAAACAGTGTCATGTTTTGTGCAGTGACATCCTACATCTGAGGAAAAGTCCGAGAGACAAGGGTAATTTTTGGTGTATGGTGAGACTGGACTAACTCAGTTGATTGTAAATGCTTTACACCTTCGTCGATACAGTTTAAATCATGTTTGAGGGAAATCCTGGGCTGAGTGGGACACTCCATCCCAAGGTAGATGTGGTTTCTCAGGAGACTGCTGAGAATTTCACGGATTGAACTGAAATCAAATGAGGAAGTGCTTGAAAGAAACCCTTGATTGACAGTCACTAACGAAAACATGTAGAAAGAAACAAATGCAGTCCCCAGGACACTTGGAAAGACATATAGGTGCCTTGCACATCCTGCTCTCACTGGGGTAAAACAGAAGGCAAAGGAGGCAAGGGGTGGGGGGGGGGGACCAGAGCAATTTACTTAGAGAACTTGAACAGGTGGGTGATGGGGAGAGATCAAAAGGATGTGGAGGCATTTTGAGAACATCTGAGCAGAAACGTGAGTGATGAACCATGATCCTGATGGTCTGGTTCAGATCTTGCACTTTAAGAAAAAGAAGAAAAAGTGGAAAAAGAGAAGACACAAACCTTTAGTAACCCGTGTTCCCATCCTCTCTTTAGTAACCCATGTTCCCATCCTCTCTTTAGTAACCCGTGTTCCCATCCTCTCTTTAGTAACCCGTGTTCCCATCCTCTCTTTAGTAATCCATGTTCCCATCCTCTCTTTAGTAACCCATGTTCCCATCCTGTCTAGGAAATCCCATCCTACGGGGACGGCGTCTCTATCGAGAGGCTGGCCCACGAGAGAAACAACCGGCGGCAGAAGAGTCACGGGAAGCAGAAGAAAGAACTTGTGACAGTCATCACGAAGGACCTGATCAGAAATCTCATGTAAGTGTCCTCATGGTCATAACACAGTGTCGGCACACTCATAACACAGCGTCCTATATCTAGCATATCATATATAGCGTGAGTGTACGTGTATAGATGAGTGATTTTTCCAATATATGAAGTCCAGAAGTCTATCCCCAGTATTATACACATGACACACGACACATGTCCAGAAGTCTACCCCCAGTATTATACACATGACACACGACACATGTCCAGAAGTCTACCCCCAGTATTATACACATGACACACGACACATGTCCAGAAGTCTACC